ACAATTTACTCAAGTCTAAATATTCAGAAGTTGATCTAATCTTTTGCACTACTTGACGTGTCATTCTCTAATATATCTTTCCACGAATTCTCAAGATTGATCGTTCTTATCATAATTCCACGTCCTATGAAAATGCCAATACTTGTGAAAATTTGAGTTATCTTGATACAAGTTCAGGTTGGAAGATCATAATTAAATTTTACATAAACATGTCAAAACACAAGTCAGAATCAGGGATTCCAAACCAAGGACAAAAAGAATAATATATGTTCAGATGTAAGACTCTCTTAATTAAGCTGCCTCCATCACAGACATGAAAATTACAAATAAAACAACACTTGGTAGAAATAACAATGCATTGCTAGTGTATAGTTTGGAAGGGAAAGAAACGATGAATCAGGATATGCTTGGTTTTCCTGACGTCTGGGAGCCCCATGAAAGTTCTCCGTTATTCTGAACAAAACTCAAATCTCCCAAGAAGAGTACATTATATGCGTCGAGGAGTTGCAATTTGAAAAAATTTAAGCTACATGCATTAGAACAAAGGAGAAAGAGAATAGCAAAACATCACATTCACCAAGGAGCAAAACATGTTAACAGCCTAAATTTCTCTACCTGGACTTTTATTTCCAACTTCAGCCTGATACGCTCAGCTTCTCTTCCTCCAGAGGCCATTTCTCTTAGAATTTTCCTGTTATATATGAAAGCAAATGATAGCTATAAGCAGCCCGATAGCATAACAATGGAAGAAAGTAAATAAAACGAAATTTGTAAAGCAACTGAGAAAAAGATATTGTTTGGTTGAATTACAGAGCACCTGAAAGTAACAGCCACAACAGTATCACCTATAGCAATCAAATTATAGGCAAACCAAAGATCATCAGGATCCTCAGGAACCATCTGCACGTCAATTTAGCATCAAACAACGACGCCGCCCGTTTCTTCCCCGGGAAAATTGGATTCCTCCCACGAAAAGCATATATTAGGTGAAATTATAGAAGGAATAAATTTTACCTTGACGCTCCCAGAGCCTCCGGGCACGAGGTCTCTTCGCACGATTTTCATGGCTTCGCGGGATGTGGAATCCGATCGTCAGTGCCTCCCTATTGCAAAAAATAATTAAGAAGTGAAGTTTCAGACGAGCACGGTAGGAGCACAGAAAGTTTATACGGGAGAGGGGATGAATCGTATCGACCAGAGCCAAAAGGTCAAACTTTTCTTAACGTATTTGTATCTTTTGTTTATATATTTTAAAGAAATATATGTAATTAGTTACTAAAATGCATTAATTGAATTTTTTAATATAAATTATTAATTTTCATTAGAAGTTCAAATTATATTATATTAAATTATTAATTTTCATTCAACATATTGATATAAAGTTTAATTCAACACATTATATTAGTAGTTGAACTATTTATGTTTCTAATGTCATGTTAAAATTTCTAAATGATGAAAAATAAATA